CAATATTGCGCAGATGACAGAAGAAAATTCTAGAAACCTCTTTATATAAATTGCTGCTCTCGGTCTGTGAATGGGCCAACACCCTACTGCTTACAACCAATGTCTCTAAAGGAGTGGATCAGAACCACCCTGTGAATGTCCTGCAGGCCAGGCTGAGAATCCAAAGGGACCTTCTGTGCACAGAAGTCTCCAGGAGACGTTCTACAAAGAAGATAACTGCTAAGCTTGTGGCCTTTTGTAGAGATTTAAGGCTGGAATAACTGCTGAAACACGATGTTTTCTATTTGTAATATATTTGTAAAACGAGAAGCTTTCCCATGTTTTCATACCACAGTATCATGAGTAGAATTTAGGGTAAAGAGATTAATTTATTAACATTGAACAACATCACTGATTGTGATGTGACCTCCAGAATGACAACTTGCCTTTGATGATTTTTGCTCAGATTGTACCCTGCTGCCAGAGGAGTAAGCTCTGCGCTGGTGACGGATTGCAGGTTCATCATCAGGAAACATTTTCACTGCAGCTGGTGTTCTTTCCTTTATCCACTTAGCCTAGTTTAATGATAGTTTGAAGCAGATAACTCTTCATGTTATTGGTAGAAAATAAATCTGATTCACAGCAGTGTAGACTGACCCTGAACTGGTTTTGGTGCCTGTTTGTTTGCAGTCACCCCACACAAAAACTGGCCACACCATTTTTTACAAAAAGTCTGGAGAGCAACTGATCTGGACAATTAAAAAAACAAAACAAAAAAAACACAGGAAAGTCATCCAACTGGGTAGGAAGATATGGAGGAATATTCTTTGTACTATGCATGAAAATAACAGGCGTAACTCAATGAGAGGGCACTGATGAGATCAGTTTCTCCTCCACAGACTGAAAGCCTTTGAGGAGAGCGGGCCGTACAAGGCGGTTTGGGGCAGAGCCTCCAATCAGGACGGGGTTGTATCCGATCAGCCTCCGACGTCTCGGGTTGTTGATCAGCGAGAGCAAATGGTGATGAGTGGAGGATACATACGCAGGTACACAGAGAAGCTAATGAGGCAGCTGCCTGGTGTGTGTTTGCTTTTATCACAGCAGCCTGGCAGGTAATCCAAGCTGTCCTCAAGCCTACAAGCAGCTGCTCAAACATAGGACGGCATCACAAACATGCACACAAAACGTGTCTACCTCCTCCTTTGTTTCAGGGTGACTAATGATGCTCGTGAGGATGAGATGGAGCAGAACCTGGCTCATGTGGGGAGCATCATGGGGAATCTAAAAAGCATGGCTTTGGACATCAGCAATGAGCTGGAATCGCAGGGTGGCCTGATTTCTCGCATTAACGAAAAGGTATGGAACTCTGGCTACTACTGATGATGGTGCAGAACCTTGTCAGTGGTGTCAAAAGTACACACTTTTGTTACTTAAGTAGAAGTATAGATACTGCAGTTTTAAACACTCTGGTCACGTTGAAGTATCAACCTCTTTACTCATGCAAAAGAGAAAAAGTATGTGCTCCAAAAGCTACTTAAACTATAAAAGTATAAAGTAACCTTTAAAAAAAAAAAAGAGCCAGATCCCACTATCTGAACTGAAAGCTCAACTTTTCGACTATTTCCAAAATAATTATTTCAGATATGGCTAAGTTGGTCTCTTGCTGGTCTCTGTCTCCATTTCCTGATACGCTCACGCTTGTTTCCAACCATGCAGACATTTCGACATCTTTTTCTGAATCCGAAAATGTAGCATGGCTTAGACAATGCAGTTTGAAGAACAGCTGCTTGCTTCTGATGATTTCCTTTAGCGTCCGCACAAAATTGATGAATAATTAAACAATGAATGTTTGCGTTATATGACTCATCCAATTACAATAGTTTCACTAGATGTGGATGGCGCCAATGATATGCACTGGATGGGCACATAACATGAAATAAAAATTTATAAACATTAAACCAAAGAGTAATGAGTAATGTTTGTTTTAAAAATGTAAGGAAAGAAAGTACAGATACTTGTGTGAAAATGTAATGAGTAGAAGTCAGGAGTAGGAAGAAAAATAAGTAATGAAGTAAAGTATAGATACCTAAAAAGTGTACTTAAGTACAGTAACGAAATATTTGTACTTCGTTACTTGATACCTCTGAACTTTGTTAAAACACACCAACAAAAAGATAATTTGCTGAACAAACCATGAAAAATGGCATCTCAAAGGATTACCTCCACTCAGAGAACTTCCATCAGCTGTAGCAGCAGAAAAAAGGCTACATCTAGATCCCTTCTAAATGTATTCACACCCCCTTAACCTATCCATTCCTCATTTTGTCACATTACAGCAGCAAACCTCACTGTGTTTCACTGCGACATTTTCCTATAGACAAACAAAACAGGGTGCATAATGATGATGTCCAAGACAACTAAGTGTGTTTTTTAAGCAATTGAAAAGTTGCATAAACTAAAAAAATATTGTTTCACAAGAAACTGCTTTTTAGAGTTACCATAATAATGGATCAGCTGTGTAATTCAATATGAGTAACTGCAAATGTTTCTGACCTCAGAGGTTCTTTAGAGAAAAAGACCAAGGAACCTCAAAGACAGAGGAAGTTCTAGAGGTTTTAAAGCAGGGCAAGGTTCTGAAACAGTATCCCACACTTTAAGCATCTCCCAAAATCACCTGCATATGGAATCGCTGCTAAATATGGCTCCACAGAGCACTGAACCAAGGGCATAACAAAGATGCATAGAAAATTTTTATATTTTCATTCATATAAGTGTAAAAAACAAAAAAAAACAAAAAAACATTTGCTTTCTTCCTCCCTGGTAATTATGGTTAACTTAATTTTGTGAAGCTGTGCCATCAGCTGATGCAATGAAGCAAACTGAATCCTGATTTATTTCTCTCTCCTCTCTGTGCAGGCCAACGTTAATGTTTCCCGCATTGAAGCCGCCAACCAGAAGGCAAACAACCTGATGAAGCGATAGGAGCACAGGACTGAATAAGTGAGGGACTGCCTTTGATTCAATGAGTCGATGCAATCAACTGATTTTCCTTAGATGGAAACTTTGACTCAGTTTGACTGTATCATCCCGTGAACTGTAAAGTGCCTTGAGATGACATCTGTTGTGAATTGGCACTATTAAATAAAAATGAATTGAATTGAATAAGCTGAGCAACTTAGTCTGTTTTTTCAGTAGAGAACTTCAGCTGCACTTCTTTATGTTTTTGTTCATTTCTAATTCTTTATTGGGACTGTTTTTTAGTTGGTGGCCTGTTGGATAACTCTTGTTGACTATTCCTTTGGAGTGCTTTAATTTTATTGTGGGGTTTTAATTGTAATTGTATCAAATTTGCTCCAATAAGGTATCCCCAGGTCACTTGAACAGGTCACAGTAATGATCCCTGCAAGGAAAGTGAGCCCCTGCAGCAGCTCTATCACCACTACTATCACCTGACAGCTCAACCAGATGATAGAGATGGACAAATGCAGAACGATTAACACGAGGCATCATGCTTCGTGGAATGTTGAGTGCACATTTTCCCTTTTATTAGAATACATCTTGATGTTCTCAACCACAGGTTCAGTCCCCATTTTCTCCAACATTGGTCAGCTCCCCTCCACAGCAGCTCGTTTTACTGTATCACATGTTCCCAAGTGGTTGAAAACACGTGTATTACGGCGCCCTCTTCAGATTTAGTTGGGTATTGCGTGCAGAAGGTAAGTACGCATTTCTCATGAAAGAAAGAACTCTGAGGACACCAAGCGGACAAACATGGAACTGCATCTTCCAGGCCACCCATCTTCTTTCTGTCATCCAGCTTTTGAAATGGGAGCTGAAAGGTATGGATGACTCCAAGCCATTTAAACAGCAGCCAAATCATTAAGAATTCTACTGATTAAAAGGCAAAAAAATATATATATGTCATTACAATGAAAAACCAGATGTTTGATTTTTAGAGGATACTCTAGAAAAATTGACAAGATCCCATTAAAATTTTTTTCTCAGGATTTTTTGATTAGTTGCATTTATAAAGTTTGGGGTAAATAAAATGCTAAATATTTTAGTTAGTTTTAGAAACAAAAATCCCTTTCGTCGTAAAAACATTTCTTAGTCACTATATCGGTGGAAAACAAATTTTTATGCATTCGACATAATTCAAACATTAACGGCGAAAAAGAAATTCAACCTTATAACGCTAACGACATCTTCTGATAGGAGTATGTTTTCAGAAAAATTGTGTCTGCGAAAGCATTCCTTTTAAGGTTTTATTTGGTTTTCCCCTGTAGTTATCGCATGACATTTACAGAAGAGCTATACTCAAGACTTATTGAAAAGAAAGCTAATTTTGATGTTCTGTTTCTAAAATAAAATCAATACTTGTGAAAGATCAAATTAAAAAAATGAATCATTGAGTGGTTTGTCTGTTTTGGATGGAAATGTAGTGGTTGGTGTTAACAGTTTCCATGCCAGCAGGGGGCGTGCAGCTGGGTCAAAATGTTGCGCGTCCAAAACAAGAGGGAGGGGGGGGAGGAAATAGGTCCGCTGACAGCGGAGTCTGCGCATTTCGCGTCACTCCGAACTTTCGGGAGAACCGCACAGGAAGAAGGTGGAGGTCTGCGCCATTTTTACTTTTCTGGTAATTATTTCCCACTCTCTGTTGTTTACAATACTGACCAAACTAGTGTTCGTTTGAAATAAACGAACATGTTTAAGCTACACAAAAGAGAAGAATGCGAGAGCCGCTCCATAAAAAAACGGTGACGCTGTCCTCCATGTTTGCCGCCGCGAGCCGCGATGAAACCTCCGAATAACGCAGAAAACCTAACATCGGTTTTACCGAAACATTCTAGATTAGCAAGTTGGTCAATACCGAAAGGTTCACGATTTTTTCAAGCCTTAAAAAAAGCGGCGCGGCCATGTAAACCGTAGTGGTGTCTGAAGACCTCTCCCCGACTGAACCATCAGGAGGAGGACAGGCTCAACAAAGACACAGCAGCGCTGCTGCTGATTGGCTCACGCTGAACACGTGACCCAAAGCAACGTTCACTTTAAATCAGATGAATTAGCTCGTTAACAAATGCGCAAACTGTTAACAGCAGCCATATAACGGGCTTTACGACATTTAGACTTGGATTATTCTAAGTTAGGAAATAAACTCTTTTATATACAAGATATAGTCAAAAATATAATATTCACTTAAACCAGCACATTTCTACATTAACTAGATTAACTGAGATTTTTACCATCAGTTTATTTTTATGGTAAACATTCTTTTATTTAGGTTTTGCCCTTTGATTTTAGTAAATATGCTTAAAGGTCAGATTTATAACTGCAGAAAATTATATGATTTATAAAAGGAGTGTTTTTAATACAGCCTTGAGAGACACATGCAAAAATACAAGAATGGGTGGTCAACAAATTATTACATTAAGAGAAAATAAAAACACGGTTAGTTTGAGGATAAGGCGTGTAATTTTAAAACATCTCAAAACACTGAAAAAATCTTTTAAAATATTCAATTATTGTAAAGATGAAGACAATTTGCTTCTGAAAGTACAATGTATAGGCATTTTAAAAATTCATGTTAAAATCAAACATAAAATTGTATAATGTACTTAGATTGCTCTCAGAACACATAACTTTATGACTTTGTGAACCAGTAAATAGCATTTAAGGCAGCTGTACTATTGGAACCAATAAGGGAGAGTTGGCCTATTGGTCAGACCAGTGCGCTTGTGCTCTTAGAAGGTACAAGTACCCAGGTTTCATCCCCACAGTCTCTACTCTGGGTTCCTGAGCAAGACCCTTGACCCCTGATTGCTCCCCAGGCGCCACACAGTGGCAGCCCACTGCTCCCCAAGAGGATGGGTCAAATGCAGAGAACAAATATCCCAATCATGGGACAATAAATTGATTTACATTACATTACCAGCCACAACACACAATGAATCCTGCTGTAATCCTCTGTCTGGGCCAAATTAAAAGTTAAACCCTATCATAAGAAATTAATTTTAGGCTCTCTGACCCATATTGAAATCCTCTGGATAGAAACAGGCTATAAATACACCACTGCTAAGATATATTTCTTTAAATTGGCATCGGCCTGGACATATGAAATAATTGAAATAATGAAGTCCCTTAACACAAAGATAGCATAGAAAACATATGAAGCTTAAAGGCTAAACGACTCCAGGCCCTGATTGGTTAACGTCAGGCGAATTAACAGAGAAGTCCAGATTCTCAGCTTCCAGGAGATGTCGGTATGTTCTCTCTGTGTTTTCAGTGGAACTTCTCTGTGATTGTGTGCTTGGAAGATATGTGCTTGAAACTCATCTTTCCCATTAGCGAGCGTTACTATGCAGGGATAATATGGAAATCACTCGCTTCATTTTGGTTTGATATGAACGCACAGAAACCACTACCACTGATGACCACGGGATGCCCATCCTGCCGCTCATCGGCTTAATCTGTTTTGTTGCTTGTACTCTGTCTCATGTATAATAACAGCAGCGTCTCCTTTATTATCTTCAGGTCTGTCTTTTTTTTTTTTTTTTTTTTTTTTTTGGTTGATACCAGCTGATGATCCCTAGTTCAGCTCTACAGCGCACTCATGTGATGGTTTCCACTAAATATCAGAAAGTTTTTGGCTCACAGAGCTGAGTGTTGCATATTTTTTTTTTTTTTTTTTTTTTAAACATCTCCCATGGCTATCATCATGGCTATCTTTAACACTGTTGTACTGCCCCCCCAGTGTTTTTTTTTTTATAGCCATCTTAGATTTAGTCTTAGTCTTCAGGATGAAAACTATTAATAGTTTTAGCTGCATTTAAGTCATTACAATATGTGATCGTTTTAGTCGGCTCAAGTTTTCTTTGTCAAAGATCCATGTTTAACTAATCAGTTCTCGTTATCATGAAAAAAAGGGGCGTCAACGAAATAATTTCATCATTGTTGATGAAAAAACGCTGCTGCCCCCTAGTGTTGAACGTAGGCTAATCTCTGCTCTTCAATAATAGATCAGCAACTGTAAACCAGTAGTTCTGGGTGTGTTACTTAAAAAAGGAACTAGTTATACTTACTAGTACTTCTCCCAAAAAGTTACTAGGGATAATAACTATGTAACTATTTTGTATCATTAATTAAAACAACTTGAAGTTTAATGTCCAAATATGATTTTTTTTTCATATTAAGGGATGATTGGAGGAGCTTAATTAGATCAAATCTGCCCCCTTACCTTTAAATATTGAGTTTCTCTCCCAATGAAGTCACACTCGCAGCTTGATAGAAGGTAGAGGGTGTAAAGGAGAAGGCGACACCCTCTACCCTCCCCAAAATAAAGCAGTTGTTGCTATGGCAACAGTGCATGGCAGTAGCTCTGTGATGCAGGTTGACATGGCATCAAACATTTGCCCCTTTTTTAAGCACATTTATACGGTCAACTACTAATGCTGTTTCATAGAGGACCTTCCCTTTAGCGATTGATGACTTTTACATTTTTTCCTAACCTGGGATTTTTTGTTATTGAGACAAAGAGGCAGCAAACCAGCAGAACTTACATTTGAATAGAGGTGAGTATTGGCATGAGTTTTGCGATTCGATACATATCGCGATACTTGGGTGACGATACGATATTATCACGATATTGCAGTATCACTATATATTGCCATGTTTTCCCCTGCTATCAAAATCAAATGATGAGATAAAACAGCAAGTTCTGTATATTTTCATCAGAAAATATTGATTAGGTATTATTATCCATGTTGTGTGGGGTTTTCTTCCACTGTGACTGCCTCAAATACAGATTTTGTGCTGCACGCACAGTTAAAGGGTTTCACAGCGCTTTCTGCCAGAGTGGTGGTGCAGAGGTAGCCCTTTTTTTTTTTTTAATCGATACTAAGAAGTGAAAGATCGATATTATATTGGGCAGCCGAATATCACGATATATCACCAAAACGATTATTTCCCACACCCCTACATTTGAATGGTAATGTTTCCTCTGCAGCTAGCTCGCCATTACGCCCGCTCCCTGAACGTAGCGAGTTTGAACTGATGCTGACCACTAGGTGGTTTG